AAAGATCGACGGCCGGGATTGGCGAATCTGCGCCGTTGGATCCTCGAACCAAATGAATCCGACGTGTCCAATGCATTTTCAAATCTTACCTTTATTTTCTTCTCTCTCCTTTGGTTCTTCCATTAGAGCTATGGACGCTCTCCAAAACCTGTATAGCCAAGCGCGAGGAGCGTCCCAATTTCGAGGAGGATCGCCATACAACCAGCAAGAACAATGGTTCAATCCGCCAAGATCGAGCACTCCACCACCAGGTTTCGCGCAGCAAAGACCGATGCCTCCTCCTCCAGCAGAGTTTTACCAGCCGCAACGATCGATGCCTCCTCCTCCGCCAGAGTTTCTCCAGCAGCAAAGATCGATGACTCCACCGGAGTTCCTCCAGCGCCAGAGATCGATGGGCTTCGGCCAGCCGAGATCACTGACTCCACCACCGAGCTTCCAGCAGCAATCCTACGATTATAGCAGCTTCCACCAGCAGCCGCGATCACAGACTCCACCACCGGGCTTCCTCCAGCAGCAAAGACCAATAACTCCTCCCCGCCACATCAATCAGCAACAGTTCTTCCAGCAGCAATTCCTCCAGCAGCAAGCTCCATATCCACAGCAGCAGTACCAATTCTCCTACGAGCAACAATCCGGCCAGCAGCAAGCTTCTCCCTACGAGCAACAATCCGGCCAGCAAAGAGCGCCATCTCCTCCTCCTCGTCCCCAGCTCCAGCTCGGTGGAGGAGCTTCTTCCAGGCCTTCTCCAGCAACGAGAGTCTCCCAGGCCGTGGTTCCCGAGCCTTCCGCCATAGCTTCCACCTCGTCCACCCGACAGCAGGTCCACAGCACGCTCACGGAGCCCGTGTCGGTGACGCTCGCCCGCGACGCGAGAAGGGTCGCGAACAATCTCCAGCAGATCGTCGTCTTCAACTCCAACCGGAACGATCCGGCTAGAACTCTGCGCGACTGGGATCTCTGGGGACCCTTCTTCTTCATCATCGCTCTCTCTTGCATCCTCTCCTCCACCGCCAGCACCAACAAAGTAAGAACTCGTCGATCACTCAAAGCTTTGATCCACTGATTCGTGCTGTGCTTGATCGATAGTCCACAGTGTTTGCAGTGGTTTTCGCAGTGCTATCCGCTGGAGCAGTGTCTCTCACCATGAACGTAGTTCTTCTGGTAAAGCCATGCTCGAAGCTCCAAAACTTTGACAAGACCTTCGATCGCTATGCAGGGTGGCAAGCTCAATTTCCTCCAGAGCTTGAGCGTCCTGGGCTACTGCTTGTTTCCTCTCGACATTGGAGCGATCCTCTGCGCGGCTTACAGCGGCAAGCTGTATAGAAGCGCCATGATCTTCGCGACTTTGCTATGGAGTTCCTGGTCGGTCTATCCTTTCGTCTCCACTGCCGTGAGGCCGAGTAGAAAGGCCCTGGCGGTGTACCCAGTCTTTCTAATGTACATCTCAATGGGTTTGCTCGTCCTCGCGAATGACTAGAGCTAGAACTCGAGAAGATTTAAGTGAAATCTATATCAAAATGAAAAGCTTACATGGTCGTCTTCGACAGTGATCTAGTTCCTGTATGATCTATAGAGTGAATCCACCAGTGGCCATCGCCGTGACGAGCTTTCGATCTGGAGCTACCGTTCCAAAGCCACAGTCCTGGATGAACTGGCTCGACGAGGCGTGGAAGCCATGGAGCGAGCAAAGCTTCCTCTATCTTCGCCACCATGGCTGAGCTTCACGACGCCAAGAGAGCCTCCACTCTAGCGACGCTGGCTTCTTCCCTCTGTGCCGCTGGGCTGTGGTTCCGCTGGTCGAAGAGGTCGTGTTTCCATTCGCTAGCAGCAGCGCCCCTGGGATTCGCCACCACAGGCCCGCGAAACCTGTTGCTGTTGTTGTTCCTGGCTATGGCGTTCCTTCCTCCGGCTTCTTCCTCCCCCCATCGCCCTCGTTCCATCTGAGTTGCCACAACGTTGCCTCTGCCATTCACTCGCGGGAATCCACCTCTTCTGCCTGCCATCCTGTCACCGTCTCTGAACCTCGGGGGAGGGCCGTTTAGTCTGCCACCTTTCTTGTTTTCGAGCTCCAAGAACCGATCGTGGTGCCACCGATCTGCCTGGTTTCTTCTGCCTGGAGCTTCGGGGTTTCCTCCTTCCCAGCGCTCCTCAGGAGGCTTCCGAACTGGCCCTCGATCCTCCGGCCGACTTCCTTCGCCTGGAAAACCTGAGCACTAGCGTAAGAACAAAGAAAACTTCCAGCAGAGAAAATAGAGAACTTACAGCTCCGTGGTTTCGCAGTACCGTAGACACATGTAGAGGCAATTTAGAAACCATCTAAGACAACAAATGTGACAAGACGATACCGAATGGCCTGCGCCTGGGAGTTGTCCGTGAGCGCCAGTTGCTATTCCGATCATCGTGCTGCAAAAGCACAAGTATGGAGTACGTCTTTCAAGTCAGCTTTAAGACTCTACCGCCACTCTACCTCGAAGAAAGCTCCCGCACGAGGGACGAACTCGGGATTCTCTCCATTTTGAGTCTCAAATCTCCCTCTTTTCGGTCGCCTTCCACCCTCCTCGGCATTGTTGGCGTCTTCGAGAGCAACAGGGTCTTGCAAGCGGCGTCGACCCCTCCCCTCTTCTTCCACAGGAAGCTCATGCCTCTCAGTCGCCCACTTGTCCTTCCTTCTGCCCCTCACAGAAAATGTTAGAACAAAGAAATCCTGGAGCCAAGATCTCAAGCACAAGGACAAGGCAACAAGAAATCCTGGGAAACAATCGGAAAGCCAAGATCTCAAGCACAAGGACAAGGAAAAGAATGAACTCTATCAATCCAAGACCCACATTTCTCACAGGAAAGAAATTCCCTAAGTTCCGGGCCACGATCAAGACGCTTGACAAAGACATACCTGTGATTCGCACCATCCGCCGAGGAAATGACCTTGGATTGCAGGCGCTTGGCACCACCTCCTCCTCCTCCTCGTCCTTCCATGGCACTAAGAACCCTAACCCTAAAGTGCGATGGAAAGCAACACTATCTCCATGATTTCATCCGCTCATCTGCACGGCGGCATTTGTGCCACGTCATTACAATGATGTGTTGCTAGCCAAGTCAGCTATTCTACCTCTTTTTCTTGTGTTTTCCGCGACGGGAATAAAGAAATGGCGCCAGGACGAGAGATCGTTTGCAAAGGTCTGGTCCCGCAATCTTCTTTCGGTTGATCGATCGATCTTATCTTCCTCCAGCGGCGGTGTCCTGGGAGCCGGAGCAGCTCTCTTTCGAGGACATTCGCGTCGCTCCACCGCAATCCGGCGAGGTCAGGGTGAGAATCGTCCACTCCTCGCTCTGCCACAGCGATATTACCTTCTGGAAAGGCAAGGTGAGCACGCGCGCGCCTATCGATTCCTCCAAGATCGATCTAATCTGGTGTGATCTTGGCCAGGGATCGTTTCCAGTGATCTTCGGCCACGAGGGATCGGGGTGAGTGAGATTATCGATCGATGCTTTCTTGGGCCGCCTAGATCCATCCAGAGTTGCCATAACATTTGTGCCAGGATCGTGGAGAGCGTGGGCGAGAATGTGGACGGCGTTCGCCCCGGCGACCACGTCGTGTCGGTCTTCCAGCCCGAATGCCAGGACTGCCGCTACTGCAAGATGCCCAAGACGAATTTGTGCGTGGTGGCGTTCGCGGAGCTGAAAAGCTGGGCGATGCTGGATGGAAAGACTCGATTCTCGGCCATGGACGGGACTCCCATTCACCACTTTCTCGGCTGCTCGACCTTCTCCGAGTACACTGTCATGCATCACTCTCACGTCGCCAAAGTCGACCCATCGGTGGCGCTGGAGAAGATTTGCCTCCTCAGCTGTGGAGTTCCCACAGGTGAGAACTCTTTCGAGCTTGGTGACCAAGATCGTGATTCTTTTCGTGTTTCTTGGCTGATGATCAGGCCTGGGAGCTGCGTGGAACATTGCGAAGGTCGAGGCCGGATCTACGGTGGCTGTCTTTGGCCTTGGAACAGTCGGACTAGCCGTAAGCTTTCAGATATCAATCGTAGTCCTCTAGTACCACTTCTTCCGCTCATACTCCATGTGCTTGCTTCGTTCTTTTTGCTTATATTCCTTTTCGTGGCGTCCTTGAAGGTTGTGGAGGGTGCTAAGACCGCTGGCGCATCTCGCATCATCGGTGTGGACATTCAGCCAAGTAAACAACGCATTGGTGATCAATCGCTTTCTCTGCCTCGGATTTTATATGCGAAGTATTTCTCACTGTTGCTTTGCACAGGAGAGGACTTTGGGCTGACTGACTTTGTGAATCCAAAGGACTACAACGACAAACCCATCCACGAGGTTAGTCTCCTGTTGTTCATACTATAGATTTCTCGTTCTCCTTCGCTCAGGTGATCCATGAGCTGAGCGGCGGTGGCGTCGATTACAGCTTCGAGTGTGTTGGGAATCCCAAGCTCATGGTTGATGCTCTCAAGTCGCTCCATGCGGTAAGTCTTTGACGAGCCGCATTCCAGCTTCCAAGTGCTCTCACGCTGCTTTTGCGCAGTTTGGAAGCCTCATCATCGTTGGTGTGACTCCGGCTGGCCAAAACTTGAGCTTCGATCCAAACATCCTCTTCTTTGGCCGCCAGATCCTCTCGGGATCACTCGGTGGATTCAAGATTCGCAGCCAAATGCCCGAGCTGGTTGACAAGTTCATGACCGGGGTAAGAATTCTTTCCGATCACGCTAGAAAAGCTTTATGGATTGGAAACATCACGCGCAGGTGATCGATCTGGATCGATACATCACGCACAACTTGCCGCTGTCGAGAATCTCCGAGGGATTTGGACTGCTGCTCGAGGTGGAATGCGTAAAGTGCGTGTTCTCACACTGACGTCGACCTTAAATATCGCGGAACGATTCGGGGCATATTCCACTACCTGTTTTCCCTCGCCAAGAAAGAAGCAAAGAAATTAAGCGCGTTAGGTGTCGAGTCTCTACCAAATTCTCTCTTTCCTTCTCTACCAATAGGCTGGGAGGCGTTTTGATATTTTAGGGTTCTTGGGCATTGCGCGGCCGCCATTATCGATCGGCTTCTTGGGCGCGCAGTGGAATTTTGAATGGAATCGAGGAGGCCAGGGCGCTGCGCGTCGCCGACGAGCGATCAGCTCGTGTTCTTGCATGTGGATTGCGATTGCGAGCGCCAGGTTTTCTTGTTTCCTGCCCCGATTGATCGATTGATTGGGAAATTGCGGTCGTTTCTTGGTATTTCAGGGCGAGGGGAATTGTTCTGCGATTCTGGCCGGGAGCTGACGGCGAGCGATGGGGGAAGTAGCCTCTAGATACCGGCTGCGACGGAGCAATGCCGCGCTCATGATTTTGGCCATGCTCTGTTTTGGCGTTGCCAGCTTCTACATCGGCTCCGGCATCCACATTCTTCACGAATCCCAGAACTCCCAGAGTGTTCTTGCGCTGTCGAGCAACTTTGTGAGTGTAAAATCTGGTTTCTTCTCTTAGTCGCTCTTGTTTCTTTGCTCCAGACCGATGGAGAGCTCACGAACCTTGCTGAGATCCTGACCAATGCTGCCATGGACGACAACAAGACCGTGATTCTAGCACCGCTCAACAGTGCCTGGGCCAAGCCTGGAGGTATTCTAGACGTGTTTTTGGAGAGCTTCCGTGTTGGCGACGGCACAGTCCCTCTGTTGGATCACTTGGTGATCATCGCTCTCGACAAGGATGCTTACGACCACTGTCTCGACACCCACAAACACTGCTTCCGGCTAGAAATCGACGGCGTGGACCTTTCCGTGGACCAGTTCTACATGAGCCAAGACTACGTGAAGATGAACAAACGAAGGCTCTACTTCCAGGGAATTGTGTTGCAGCTGGGATTCAACTTCATCTTCACGGTATGGCTCGTTATTTTCTTCTCTAGATGGTCCAGAGATTCATCGTTTCCGGGGTTCTATATCTTTTTACAGGACCTTGACATTGTCTGGCTACGCTCACCAATCAAACACTTAGCCGAGGACGCTGATTTCCAGGTGACTTGCGACCGCTATTCACGCACTACGCCCAACATGGGGCTCGTCTACGCCCGCTCCAACGAGAGAACCATACAGCTTTTCAGCTACTGGCATACGAGGAACGTGATCGACCACGAGCACAACGAGCAGGAGATTTTCATGGAGTTCCGGCACTCTCGCGAGTTCCTGGGCCTGGGAATCAGGCTGCGCTATCTTTCCACCAGGTACTTTGGGGGGCTGTGCGACCGGAGCAGCATGGACATCAACACAGTGTGCACGATGCACGTCAATTGCTGCAAGGGGACTGCTAAGAAAGCCGCGGATCTCAAGCTCGTCATCGAGGATTGGAAGGTGTTTAAGTCGACAACAACGCCTGAGGAGCGCAAGAGGATTCGTTTCAGGGCCCCGAGGCAGTGCCGGAAGAGTCTAATCGAGTACCTCCAATGATACAATCCGTGATAAAGCAGGAAAAGGTTCGCTCACATCGTCGACATCGAGGCTCTATATTGTCTTCTCAGCATTTGTACACTTTGCTGGTGGGACACAACACTTAAACTGCGGGGAGGTAAAAAGTTCCTTTGGATAGCTTCACTGATTCTTAATTCTTTTGGCCCAGCATCGTCTCATACGGAACAAAAGAAACTCTAGTCCTCTTGTTTACTGTAGTGCCGTGTGCTGAGAATATGCAACACTGCGCTTCTAGATCGTCCTGTGTCGCTGTGAATTGTGAATGGCGGAATTCTGGAGAACGTTATAACATATTAGCGTGATCCAAATAGAACATTTAGATGAACAAACAGGAATCTCTGGATAACAAACAATAACTGAGAATGCCACTTAGCAGAATGTCCGGAAAGGAACAGAATATCCAATGTTCGAATTTATGACAGGTAAGCAAAAATTCCGTACATCGTACCATACCATCGAAGCGTTAGCTCAGGCAGCGGAATTCTCAAGCTTTAGGGTTCTTTAGAGCGCCCGGATGATCGCGATCGCATCATGAGGCGCAGTGCTACATTTTTTGCGGTGATTCTGGCTCTGGCCATGGTGGATTTCATTCTTCTTTGCAGGACAAGGAAGTAAGCAGCTCAGATGAAGCACATGGAAATACCGCGGCTTGTAATCGGGGAATTTCACTGAGCGAGGGGGCTTCTTGCAAGATCGGGAGGCTGGCATCGAGGTTTGTGATTCTTGATCATCGGCATGTTCCTAGAGCGCTGGAAAGATCAGAAGTCTAGAGCTTTCGCATTTGCTGTATCCTGGTTTGCTCTTTGCAGAAGAAAGAAATGGGCATCGGTGAGACGCGGGGAACTTTACTTAGCGATGGAGGAGTCCAAAACACCGAGATGCTCAAGGAGAGTGAGATTGCTGGATGTTTCCTATGTTAAGCGCGCTACAATCTTGGTTTGTTCTGCAGAACAAAGAAACGGGCATCCCATGTCGGAAGAAGCGGCCAGTTTACCTGACCGATGGAGCCACTGGGACACTGGAGCAGAGTGTGATTGCTGGAGGCGATCATTCAGAGGTATGTGTTCGCTTGCTAGGCCATGCACTATATACAAATTTCCAAGATGTCAACCATAAGGAGAGTTATAAGGAGAGACAACGATGCTAACTGGAGCAGCTGTCAAGGTTTGTGATCAAGATATGTTCAACCATTCTAACAAGAACTTGAAACAGGGGAAGTACAAGATCAGGAAGCTTAGAAAATTTTCTCTAAATATGTAAAAACCTATGGCTGCAATCTGCTTTCTTTTTCTTAAGACAATCTTTTTTAAGCTTATACAATACAATTTTAAGTCTTATTGCTTTTAATATTGGAATAAACAATTATAAATTAGTGTTATTTTTTAAGGATAGAGTAGTGGTTATAGTGGGGGACTTTTCTAGTTAATTACATAATCAAATTATAAGTTACTTTTTTATGGAGATGTTTTGGCATTTGGAATTGATTCTCAAAATGAAGTTCACCCTTTAAATTAATTAATTAATTAATTAAATTATATATTAAATATAATATTATATATTTAATTGAGTAAATTATATTTTTATTATATGTATTTCTTATTAATTGTTTTTTGGGGAATCTAATATCATAAAGTTTACCAAATGTTTCAGGTAAATTCATATCAATAAAATAATATGTGTGTTTTGTGTGTAGTCCAATTATATGCCTCGATTTTTCACAAATAACAAGTTAACAAAATGAAAACATTCATTTTACGAAGATTTCCTTAAAATCTTGGTAACATAACGTATATAAAATTGTAATTTATTTATATATTATATATTTATATTTAATTCTTTAAAGGTTTTTTTATACTATTGTTATTAAAGATTTTGCAAGAACGTTCCAATAAAGCCACTTTGATATAGGTATAATTTTTAATTTAAATGTCTTTCTATTTTAATAAAATTTATTGTATTAGGTTTTATTCCTGAAATTAATTTTGCAGTGGATAGTGCATTATAACAGATTAGCCACACTTCAAGTTAAATGTTTCTAAGGAAATTTTCAGAACTAAAATAACTATAGATTTTTATAAGCTTTTTCATTTCCTATTAACTGTAAGAATCAAAAAATAAAATTTTTAACTTTCAAAGATCTTATCTTAAATATATTTTTTGCTTGTTAGAGTGTTTGCACATTAGCAATTTCTTATAATCAATCTATCAATTCACACAGAAGCTTTGTGCTTAAATAGAGAATCCAAACATCCCTTTTCAGATAGTTTTTTAGGTTCTCTCCTATCACAAGCATGTATTATACTGACAAAGATTGCTTGCATTTAGCAAAACACTGATAAAATGATATACTTTGAGGCACTCAGAGATTCAGTAAAATGGCTGTTTTTGTGTGCATGTATCTATCATTGAATATGTTAAAAGGATTATAAAAATGAAGCTTACCAACATTCTGTTGTTGCCCCTGCTTTCAGTAATCAGAGCTAGATGAACTACTAATTGTTCACTAAAACCATGACCAACCTTGTTCAACACGTTTCTCTCCCGCTCTTGAAATTTGTTGGACTCGGAGAGCAAACACTTTACACATCGAAGACTGTAGATAAGAAATGAATACCAAAACTTATGTTCCTGATAACATCAGGCTTTGCTAAAAAACACTATGTTTTCTTTTATTTAATTACAGCTCCAAAACCTGCTGGTCTTGTTGTCTCGCGAGTACAGAGCTCCCTTTGAATACTTCACAATTGCTCCGAGAGGGTACCTGAAATGCTCGCCCATGCTGGAAGGCAGCTCTGGCACGTCTTGAAACAAGGTGGAAGTAGGCACCGAAAAGCACTCCTCCCCCCTAAGTGGATCAAAGTCTTGAATCTCTCCAGCGTAGCCAATGCATGCCTTGAAGTATAGGTTGTCTGCATCATCGATGCAGGCACTTACACCGATCACCAGCTTGACACTGGCCACCTCCATGATCCTCGCAACGTTCTCCCTCAATTTCTCGTGGCTTTCGTTGTAGAACGCTAGCTCCACCACAACAATCGGCAGCTCCCGCTTCGTCTCTGGGCAGCGCTGAAAGAGGGCGTGATCTACCATCTTCATGTCCCCATTGGGGAACTCCACCATGAAGTTCACCCAGTGATAGACGGGGCCGCAGAGTGGATCAAGACCGAGCTTGAGGAGTTGATCCATCAGAACAATGGCTACGTACCCCTTCATCCCTGCGTGGACTTCGGTGTTGTCCCCGCAGATGCTAACCTTTCCTCCATCGTGCTCGTATGCTAATCCATACTTTCGCACGTTATCCTGATCCGCCAATCGCTGAAACTCGGCAGACTCCACACCCGAAACACAGTGAAATGGGCCCTTTTTGAACTGCCTCTTGTAATCCTTCCTGGGATAGATCTTATCGCAAGCTACCTCACAAGCTCTCACAAGCCTATTCATAGAGATCTCCGCCATTAGAACCCTAAATCTAAATCGCTGCGCTCGTCGCTTTGAATCATAGCCGTCCACATTAACCTTGAATACTTTCGGCGCCCAGGTACCCGAGCTTCATCGGGACGAGGAGCTCCTGGTTTTGCTGGGCCTGGACGCCCACTTTGGCCGTCAGAATTCGCCTCGCCCGCCGGAGATCCTTGTCCAGTATCGATGTGAGCAATCAGGGCCTCGTGCTCGTTCGACTGAAGAGTATGGTTGTGAGGTAGAGACTCGCTAGTGCGTACAGGCAACCCTCAAGGGACGAGAGCTTGGCGGTTAGTTCCCGGAGCTGCGATTCCTTGCGTGTGATGGATTGTGCCATGCAATCGTTTGGAACATGTTTGCCTTAGGTACCTGGGCCTCCAATGAGAGAGTTTAAGCTCGTTGCTGGCCTTCGCTTGTTGTTGATGTTATGTTATACGAGGGAGTAACTTTTTAAAGTTTAATTACGTGCAGTTTCTTTGATCAATTTCTGGAGGCTGGTGTTTTTATCTGAGAGTACTTGTAGTTTTCTTCCTGCAAGAAAGTAAAGCTATTTGACTGTGCATCTTAGAATGAAAATTATACCCACAAGGATTTCAGTTGTTCGTTTGTCCTTTGAAGCTCCTTGTTTGTGTTTACCAGTTCATGGAGCTGTGTCTTGTATTTCTCTTCCTGAGAGAATTTGCTCGTTAGACCTGCTGCGTTTTGGAGTGAACCATAAACATTTACCTGAGAGAAAAGCCTCTCCTCAAGTAGGTGTTTTTGCTTGTTTGTTCTAGCTGTATTTTCTCTCCAGCTCATTGAGCTTGTTCCTAGCTCACGGACATATAGATCAAAACATCATTAATGAAGTCAATAGTCATATTTGGCATATTATAAATAATTTCATTCATCATTCACTAAAAATTATTAAAGCATTATTAAAACCAAACAGCATCACAAAAAACAAGTACAAAATAAATGATGTACAAAAAATAGTTTTGGGAACATTTTTCTCAACCATCAATATTTGCCAGTACCTAAAAGTAAAATTTAACTTAGTAAATCAGTTATTTTTCCCAAAAAATTTAATAAATCAATAATGTGAGGAAGAGGGTACATATTTAGGATAGTGACCTTGTTTAATAAATGATAAATGATGTAGAATTAAATACTCTTATCGGAGAATACCTAGCTCTTTTGGGTGTTAGTGGTGCCCTACATATAATGTTATTTTGCCTATATAGCCATTTTATGAGAAAAAAAGGTTTCATCACAAGATAAAGTTCATATAGTTAAAGACTTTGAGAACTTTTGGATAACTTCTGTCTTTAACATTTCTTTAACATTTATGTATAAATCTTAATCTTTTTTGGTGACCAACACCAAATGATAACTTTAATTGAATAAACAACCCCAATTGAAAAGATTACATATTGCAATCTTAACCCCAAATGGTAGATCAAAGTCAAAGAGATTAACATACTCTTCCTTGAGCTAGTCAATTTTTGCAGCATAAAGATTATTTGAGGGATCTAAAAAGAGAATATAAGAGCAAAAAGGAAATACAATAGAAAGTTATTATTATTATTATTATTATGATTTTTTAAAAATCTATTTTGATTTCTAGAAACCTCAAAGTGAAGTTGAAGGTGTGCCATATAGTAATGATCGAATCAAGAGTTTAATGAGCATAACATATTTGGACTAAAAACTCTAACTCGAAAAGTTCAAAGTAGAACTGAAACTCCTAATGAAGTGCTTAGGGAACGAGCACAAAGTAATTGATAAATGAGTCTCTGAAAAAAGGATACAAGAAAGACAAACAGGAGAGGGGGGTGTTGGGTTGGGCTATAGGGTGTAGAGTGTTTAAAAGTACAATAGAGAGATTGTGAAAGTTGGATTTCAGTGGAATTAGTTTAGCCAAGAAAGGCCAATCAAACCCAAGAAAGCTATATCTATATGGTGGGTGATAATGTAACCACTAAGGAGTTTAAGACTAAAATGAATATAAATGGACAAATGGGGTAATTTAATGAAGAGTTCAAAATTAATTTTATCTCCTCTAAAAAATCAAATGGTTGATGTTTCTAATTCAAGTGTGGGTGACATTACTTACTTAGATACTTAACATGGCTTATCAAAACATCATTTTAGCCACGTGGTTAAAGTACTCAAAAGCAAAAAGTGGGAGTATCTATGAAACTTGATAGGGTTACGGTATTTCAAAATGTCATCCTAAAGTTCTAAATTATGGAAAGGAAGAAAAATAAACATCTTGTATACTAACTAAAGGTATAATTATGTGGTGAGGAAGTCTTAAAGGTTAATAGGATTTAGTGGTCAAGCCTTTGGGCCCTAATCTAGTGGCAGTATTTGTGAGTATTGTTCTGGATGGAAAGGGATTTAATAAGAAAAAAGAATATTAAAGAAAAGTGTTTTTTATGTCTTTGGGCATCATAAGGTGTGGTTATAAAATGACCACTTATATATGGATGGTGAGAGTCTTTTATCTTTGAGTGTCTATAATAAAATTAAACAAATAAAGCATGTCACTCATGGAGGTTGTGATTGAAATTCTTCTAAATGGTCAAAAGTGTGGTTAAGTGACTAAAGTTGAATGGAAAAATTAATCATTTACAAAAATAATAATGAGACAAAAGTGATAAAAAAGAGGGAGAAACATAGGGACAAATTAGAACAAAAGTGAGCTTTATAACTTTCATCATTATCAATTTACTTTTCTCAATGGAAGGGACTATTTAAAGTGTTATAACAAATTAGATTGCAAGTTTATAATGTTTTATGTGATATCAATCCTCCAAAAATTATATATATGCAACATTTGAAATGCTTTATACAAAGATTAAGAAGAAATTC